AAAAAAGCAAAAAAAAAAAAAAGCCCCGGCGATCAATTTCTCCACTGTCGCTACGGAAACAGAGCTGTCTCTATTGGGCTCGGCATGAGGAGCGTCTGACTGCATTCTTCCCTCTCCCTCCTTTTCCTTTCTCTCCCCATCTCTATCCGATTCCACCCTCTCGCTTCTCTCCACATTATCTCTCCCCGCCGTCCTCGTTTCTCCCTCCTGTCTTCCATCCTCCGTCTCTCACCTGCTTCTCTGGAACAACTCAACAGCTGTCTCAGCCTCACTCTGAGCAAGTGCACTGGCTATAAAACAAGCCACTGTTCTCTTGACTGCGGCCATTTGTCTGGCTGCTAATTCAAAGGTAGACAGCAACTTCCTCAGCAGGCTTTCTGTGGCTGTGTTACTGCTGGGGATCGGAACACATTTGCTCTCACAGTGCCTAATCACAAAAATGTGCCACACAAGGTTCGAGGTACTTAAAAAACCAGGCGAAAACCAAATCACTGACCACAACACATACTCCTTCCTCCAGAGAATAACTGCATTTTCAACAAATCCCGTCCGCACTGCTCTGAATGACCGAAGGCTGTCCGCTCTGGCAGAACAGAAGGTTCCATTCAGCGAGGTGCAGCGCTGTGCAAATGTTAGCTCTGCCAAGACAGAAATTAGTATTGCTCTGCAAAGCCACTCTTATCTGCCACAGAGAGACCTGTTAATGGCAATGTAGCACCAGCAGGTTGCAAATAGACCTTGAAAAGATGATACATCTATAAATAAGCCCTTTGTGCAGAGAAAAACACCAGCAAACACTATTTTAACTATTTCTTTTAATTCCTATTTCAGTAGGCAATCGTCTGTGAGATACAGAGAAAGTTACACATGACATTTCACTGCTAATATTGCATGTTTGTTCAACTGTTGCCATGGAGAATTATTTGTATCCAGTGGAACAATATAATACAATGAAGGGAAACGTTGCTCTTGACAGCTAAAAACCTTCATTTTAGGCAATTGTTTTGGATTTATTCCATCTGTAAAAGGTCAAACCCTTCAGTGCGTTTTCCTTTGAAATCTACACTGCAGGGATCTCCCAAATAGTTGTGAGGACGTAGGCCTGCAAGGACGCTGTAGGGTAAGGAGACGGGATCAGAGCATCAGTGCTGTACGCAGGCATGTTGGTTTGACTGGTTTGGAGCCGAACATTGGCAAAATGTTCCGTCAACTCTCAGGTAGTCTAAGGGCCTCAGAAACCAACCACACTCCTCCTGTGCAAAATATAGTATTGATAAGGGGAGGCTTATCTTCTAGATCATTAACATTGGGTCAAAGCTATGTAGAAAATCAGTGGTTTTGACTTCCTTGGGCTGAAAGTGATTTTGCAACACAGATGTTTGTTTGCATGTCCTGATTTGTTTCTACTTGCAAGTTCCCAAAAGAAAAGGTTTATTCGAAATCAAACCTGAAATTAAGATTACCTACCAAAGTATTCCTTTTTCATGTGCATCTCTAACTCCTTTTCCAGCTCCAAGGTGAGCGCCTCCAGCCGTCTCTCCGCCTGGCTTGGCCCGTTCTCTCGGCTGGGGGTCACCTGGTAAGGCAGCTTGAACCTCTGGCCCGAGGAAGCCGCTTTCGAAGACACCCCATAACTAAATGATGATGGCGACCCCGCGGTCATCTCCGCAGTCCCTCCCGTCTGGGCTGACTGCTGCTGGGGCTCTGGCACCGCCGAGAGTCCCTGGAGATGGATGCGACTCTGGATCCCGTTGGAGTCTCCGAACTCCTGCAGCAGCGTGTCCTCGTGTAAACTGCTGCCCAGCATCGACGACCTGGGCGAGGGCAGCTGCAGGTCCGGGTAGGTGCTCATAGACCCCCTAGAGCTGCGGGAGCTTCTGGAGCTGTGACTGGAGATGCTGGACCGGGGACTGACCACGCAGTTGGCCGTGGTCCCCGGTCTTGCGCTCCCGTCCTGGCTGCAGATGCTCGACCGAGGACTCGCCAGCGGCGCTGCGTGCAGAATCGCCCCCTCCAGGTCATGGTTGACCACGGGCCCGTACCGTGAGTCCGAGTAACTGGACCTCGGGCTGGTGGTGAAGGAGTACTGGCTCGCCGTGCTCGACCTGGGGCTGGCGTGCCTCTGGTCGTAGCCCATGCTGATGCCGCTGGTGCGGTTGCTGCTGGGCTTACTGCAGCAGTCACAGCTGTTGAGGCTGGCCCGGGGGCTGGAGTGTTTACTCGTGTCGCTGGCCGTGCTTGCATAGCTGGATCTGGGGCTGAGGACACTGTTGCCCTCGCAGTGAACTAAACTAGACCTGGGGCTCGTGTACCTGTCCTGACCCGGTACCACCAAACTAGTTCGCGGGCTGCTGATGCTCGACCTCGGGCTGGCATGCTTGCTCTGCTCCTGGGAGGACAGGGAGGACGCGAGGCTGGACCGGGGGCTGGTGGCGTTGTACCTCCCGTCGTGGCTGCTGGTGATGCAGACACTGTTGCACCTGTTGCCGGGCAGAGCCACCGGTTTGTTGAGAGGCACGCCGTCGAAGGTGGAGCCGGTGCTGTACCTGTGGCCCTGCACCTCCAGAGAGTACCTCCTGTGCCTCTCGGAAGCGCCGGTGTAGCACGGCAGAGCCACCTCGGATTTGGTGCAGCAGCCCTCCTCACTATAAACCGCGTCTCTTTGAGGAGCACAGAAATCCACAGGAACGGTCCGGTTGCAGTTCACGGGGCGCACCGGAGCCGCGTTGTACACTTTATTCCCAGACGTGAAATTCTCCACTGTGTGATGCTGCTGGTGAAGCACAGAGGTACCATTCATTGGCTTACTTTTATGCTCCGCTACCGCCGGAGCCGAAAAGTCCAAATCGGGGTTAATCACCAAGTCTCTCCTCGCGTTGTACATCCCGTCTTTGTACGCATCGTACAGGGAAAGGTCCTCCATCAGTTTACTGGCCCGGAGTCCCAAGTCTTCCTGATAGTGCTCCATGTTGTGTTCCCGAGGCGAGAAACAAGTTCAGAGTGTGCTCCGCTCCGCGAGCCAAACTAGCGAGCACCGCGGAGCACTAATTGCATTTCACATGGAAATCAAAACAAAACGCCGCGGTACAGCCGTCGCTCGTTTACACAAAACCACCGACGTACTCAGAAAGCTCCACCGTGTGCCGCATCGTCTTCTCCTGCTTCGCCCCCTTCGCCGAAAAAACAAACTCTTTCTCACAGTTTCAGCCGACAGGGATACGTTTGTCAACTTCAGTTTTTGTTAAGTTGAAAGGTCTTTACAGTCAATGGCGCGCTGCGCGGAGGAATTTCCCCTTGTTGGTTTTTCCTCTAGTTTCGCTCACGGCCACTGTGGCAGAAATTAAAGTAGGCTGGATAATCTGATACGCCACAAATATCCGTTGTATATAAGTCTGAGCTCACCCAGCGTGCTGAAACCTAAATAAAATACCGTTTTACACAAGGGACTCGTTTGCGTAAAAGGAATGCGGGGATGAAGACAGGATGCGCTGCGCCTCTGTGGAATGTGGTTAATGCTGCAGAGAAACAATGATTGCGACCAACTCAGCAAGGGGCTGCCGGCTCTGAAAAGAGAATAGTTTAGAGAAGGGGACGTCTGCATTCATCCCTGGCAGACTAAAATATCACACAAAGCACGCCTTACCTGCTCCGACTCCTTTTACACCAGGAACACGCTGCAGTGAGTTAGTAATGTGGAGAGCAAAGCTATTTCAAACTCTAGTTTTTAGTCTGATGATAAAATATACTCTCAGGTCGGCCTCTAAAGTGTGCATGATCGATTTTAGGATAACGTCCAAACTAATTTTAGTTTTTAGAGTTAAATAGATAGGCCTGCCAAGTGCATCAAAGACATGATTGAATAAAATATTACTCTGTTATGAACATTATATTTATTTGTATGCATCTAATGCAAAGTGAATGAGTCATTTAAAGGAAAAAACGGGAAATAAACATGGATGTCTATGATGACCACACATGAAGGCTACTTTTACTTTGTATTTGATGTTATTACTGTGAGATTGTGATACATGGATATGCTGTATCGATTGTAAACCAGGCTACTTTTATACTAAGGGTCTAACATGACAACTATGTATCAATACTTACAATGCAACCTTGAATCCAGGTTAAAAATCAAACAAACCACATTTTCCTTGTAAGGTTTTATTCATTACAGTTTCAGAACCTTTCAGCACCTTCCAGCATTCATCAATCTTTGCCTTTCGTTCAAAAGGCAACTGTTGTGGAAAAAGAGGTAGCATTTAACATATAGTGTCTGAAAGTGACAACTATAGGATGTAAAATTAAGACATTAAGGTACATAGATTCTATGATTATTGTGATGGGTATAAAAAGGACCCCAAATAAACATTAAACCCATAAACATTTTTGCTTGTTGGTCTGTAGACAGCTGCTAACACTGACCAATTAAAAATAAAACGTGCATGTTGACGTTGTCACATCAAGACCTGTTAAACAACCTTTTGGAAAGATATGATATTTTTACTTTAGTTGCTCATCAACTACCAACAAGTGGAAGAAAAGAGAGAGCCACAGCAACAAAGGCAGCAACAAACAGGCTGTCTAGGAGCAATCGATTGAGGAAGGAGCTGTGAGATGTTTTCCCATGCCCTCTGCTTCTAAACCACTGTACAACATCATCCAGGTTGTGCTCCTGGGGCTCATAACCGAGCTCTGCCTTAGCTTTTGCCATGCTGAAGTAATGCGTCACGCCAGTTTTATACACCTCTGTACGTGTCAGCAGTGGCTGAAAGTTATAGAAGGGCCCGATGAGGTGGTGAATCATTTCTGTGAGAAAGGCAAAAAAGTAAATGAGAGAGACAGGGAGGCGGAGTTTGGGGAAAGGATAGCCCAAGCCCTCTACCAGAGGTCTAAAGAATTCAAAATTGTTGACAGGCCTGCCATCTGAGATAAAGTAGGCCTGGCCAGCAGAGCGGTGCTGCTGCTCTGAGGTCAGAGCCTCTGCAGCAAGTTCGTGGGCTGACACCAGGTTGTCCACATGGACAAACTCCACCAGGCTGCTGGGTTCGCCGTAAACAAACTTGAAGATGCCCTTCTCTATGTAGCCAACTATCCTGGGCAGGTGCCTCTGCTCACCAGGCCCGTAGATTCCTGCAGGACGCAGTGCACAGCTTCTCAGCACCCCAGAGCCATCCTTCAGTGCTGTGCCATTAGCTTTTAGCACTGCCATCTCAGCCAGGGACTTGGTTCTGGAGTAGTGGTCGGGGTGAAGATGGAGAGGTAGATAAGGGAGGCTTTCATCCCCGTTCTCTATCACTTGGCCTCCAAACACCACGTTGAAGGTGCTGGTGTAAACCAGCCTGGACACTCCGTGCTCCACGCAAGCCTTGAGGACGTTCTGCGTGCCTTGAACATTCACCGCCTCGATCAGATGGCGGTTCAGCTGCTCCCTGCCAGACATGCCATAGGAGGCGATGTGGAACACGCAGTCCGCACCAGTGATGGCTCTCTCAACGTGTGCATACTCACGTATATCTCCTTGAACAAACACAATGTCCTCTGGCACGTCTCGGTTTGGAGGGACTGTGTCGAACAGAATGATTTTGGCTCCTTTTTTATGCAGGGAGCATGCCAGGCTGCAGGGGAAATCAAATATGAATTCATCATCTCGCAGGGAGGGAACTCAGGGAACTCATTAAAATTCCTCAATCTGATCAATATGACATTTTAAATCTATGAAAAACAAAACCTATATTAGTTGCATGTATTTCTACTTTCAAATCTACCATATCCAATCTAGCTGAGATAACTGGTGTGATAACGCCACCTTGTTGTAGTACGCTTGTATGACAGCACAAGGCAACTGTGAAATCACGAGTGTTCACTGACTGAGAGGGTTCATTTTCAGTCTTAAAAAAATATGAGACGGTTCTTACCGATAACCAAAATAACCACATCCGCCAGTTATCAAAAACGTGTCTGCTCGGTCATTTTCCATTGCAGGAGGGCCAATCTAAGAGAGAGGATGAGACATTTATGCATAAGGAAAACAATGTGTTTAGAAAAGCACACACAAAGAAATCACCAGTCATGTAAAACCACAAAGCAAAAAAAATAAAATCTAAGTTACCTCACCTGCAGGCTGTAGCCTAGAGTTCACTGACCTTGTACTTTAGTTATTAAACCCTTTATATTTATTATAATTACCAACCTGAGTGCATTAACATTGTTTCTACATGGACAATGCACCACAAATGTATTCCAGTTATTATTACAGCCTAGTTTACAAACTGCCACACTGAGTTTCCGTAAGGACTTATTCATACAGCCATGTGTCTTACTTATGCAACAAAGTAGCATTAGTGGTCTGTAACATGCACAGACAGCTATGACAGCCTGAGCTCTAAACTATGTAAGTTCACGGATTCCCTGTTGGTACCAACCTCAACATAAACCGGGTAGAAAGAGGGCTGAATATCACTCATTCAGAACTGAGACAGAGACCACTTCCTTGGTCGGTGCTGTGCGTGCTTTTTGATACGTAATTTACACAAAAAGGGCCGATATCGCTCCTAAAAGGACGTCTAAAAGGGTCCAGCTCAGTAAAGGTACAGACAGAATGACACAGGAAGTACGGCGACCATACCTTCACAATGTCAGATAGCCTATCACATAGTGATGGCAACTGATTTTAAATGGAAATCATCCCAACATATAAAAAACATAATTGACTATTTGCACTTGTAGAAGTGTTAAATTAGCACGTGGTGGTCTTGAAGTGATCATCGCGTGTATTTTTGTTTCCGTGTTCGCTAACGACGCTTTTATTTTGAAAGTTATATTCGGATGACATAATCTTAAGTACGTTAGCTTTGCGAGGACTTCCGGTATGCGCCTCGGGAGTTTTTTTAAAAGTAGTAAAATTATATATTTAATCGTCATCCCCATTACACCAACACACGGCAGTGTCAGACACATTATAAACAACTCACACACTATTGTTTAATCTGTATGATAAACCCACCACACTGACTCAGACTGTGAATGTGAGTGATAGCGCCTCCGGTGGCGACACGCGAGCAGCCGAGCACAAGCAACTTTTCAACTCGAGGACAACTACATCATGTTTCACTAACCGCCCTAAATAACAACAACAACCTACCGTTGCACGTAACGTCACAGTCTGAGCAAGGTAGGTTGTGCGTTTGGGAGCATTGACAGTATTCAGGATCAGTGAATTAAGTTGTGCAGTAATGCTGCCAACGCTGGCGGGCGAGGCATGTAGGCTTCACTTTCACTTCCTAAGTGTTTATATACCAGACAGCAGACTATCTGGTGAACAGTTACCATGTCTAACTTGTACACGGACAGAATATGTTAAAGAGGACCTGGCTGTGGTTCCATGGTCATTGCGAGCAAAGGCTGCACCTCAGTCAGCTTGCAGCTCTTAAGAAAATCGCAAGATTACACTTCCTTTTTTTCTCAAACACTCGCACAAAAAACTAACATAAATTGAAAGTTAAGCACTGCTTCTACACATTTAACTTACCAAAGATGGAAAGTGCTATTAGGGATATTTTTGAGATGTAATTATGACAAACTGTCGTTGTTTTAAACTTTAAGACAAAATTGAGATGACTTTGCAAAATTTAGTGCAACTTTGTGACCAGTGGGCGACTGGGCGTGTCCTTTATATATTTATATACTTTATAAATGTTTCACTTAATGGCTTTATCTAGTAGCTTTACCTTAAAGCTGCAGTTTATAACTTAGAAAAATACCTTTTATGTCATATTTTCTGAGAGAGATACAGACAGATAATCTGTGTATGAATCAGGTTCCTCTGGCGCCTCCTAGTGCCTTTAGTCGGCTACTGTCAGGATTATGTGAAAGTTTCAGCAAATATGACAAAAAGTTATTTTTATAAAAAATGACCAACTGCAGCTTTAAGTACTCTGCGGTTTATTAGAAAGTGATGCCCTGTATTTTACAGGCAAGATGAAT